CCAATGAAGATTCCTAATTATTTATGCTATAGATGCGACCGTCTAAGTCACCGAGGTGGGGGGGGGTCGCGATTTTTGTACGCAACTCTCTCCAATCCTGTCTGATCAGCGAAGAGCGCTTTAATGGACATGAAATTGTAACTGTGTCTGTATTTCTGCCGCAATATGGTAACGTATACTTCACTTCTATGTACAATCCACCGAAGAATATTCTAGATATAAATTATCTCGCGAAAATACTTGATACAAATAAACAGGTCATTCTTGCAGGGGATTTAAATGCCAAGAATCAGGAATGGAATTGCAGGAGGACAAATAAAAATGGAATCAAGCTTTCCGAATTCATTAATAATCACCCAGTCTATTTTCATGTACCAAGTGAGTACACATATTTTGCCTAATAATCCCAATACAGGTGACATTTTGGATATTTTTATTTCGACCATCTCCCTCTCTTTCAATCTAGAGGTGATTCAAGATTTAGATTCTGACCACTGCCCGGTCATTGCGACCCTAGGTACAACCAAAGATGTTATGGATGAACACATTAATACAACCAACTGGAAAGTTTTCAATGAAATTCTCTTAGAATGTAAAACCAACAGTAAACTTCGCACTCCGGAGGACATTGAGCTTGCGGCCAAACATCTTACAATGGACATACAAAGTGCCTACCACTGCGGCCACGAGAAAAATTCCTAGAAGACAGGTTACTAATAAGTTACCGCATAGGATTAAAAGTCTCATCAAAGCTTAGAAAAAGGTATCATCTCACTTGCAATCCTGATAACAAAAAAAGAGATGAATAGACTTGGTAGGGAAATTAAAAAACAGATAAACTCCCACCGCAAAGAGCTCTGGGATGAGAAAATTGAGAGTTTTAACGACCCTAGTAGCTCATTCTGGTCGTTTGTTAAACGTCTTAAAAATAAACCCACAGTTAATAGGCCGATTTACCATGAGCATGGCATTGCGCTCACAAATATTGAAAAGTGCAATACGCTCGCTGAGCACTTTGAAAAGCAATTCATCACAAACACTTACCCATGCAATCAGGATTTTACAACTCATGTGAACTTCACAGTGTCAGAATGGCTTTACAAAAACAACCTGCAAAATCACTTAGAGCTTACCTCACCACAGGAAATCATAAAAAGGCCCCCGGGCAGGATAATGTTAATAATGTAGCACTGAAATGGCTGCCAATAAATATGATCAATCGTCTTACAGGTATTCTGAATGCTTGCCTGTACAATAGCTACTTTCCGAATATATGGAAGTCTGCTAAAATGATAGTGATCCCAAAGCCGGGAAAGAACCTGACAAAAACGGATGGGTACAGGCCCATTAGCCTGCTGCCCAGTATGGGAAAAATACTTGAAAGAATTGTCCTTAGCAGAATACAACCTCATCTGGATAAGTTACCACTTGAACAGTTTGGCTTCAGGAAAGCCCTATCCACGACGAAGCAGCTGGTTAGGCTGAATGAATACATAGGTAGTGCACTGCACAACAAAAGATATGTTGCCTTACTCATGCTGGACGTTCGACCGCGTCTGGCATGAGGGGTTAATTTATAAATTAATCAGTTTGCAGTTCAGCACTGAGTTAATCAAAATTATCCACTCGTTTCTTTCAAACAGAACATTCAGTATTCACATTGGTGATAGCACTTCAAATAAGAAGCAAGTTCAGGCCGGGGTCCCTCAAGGATCTATTTTAGGGCCCGGGCTCTATTTATTCTACGTGGCAGACCAACCTGCAGAACATTTAGATCAAAATTTTTTTCATGGGCTGCTACGCAGACGACACAGCATTTGCAGTGAAGTCTGGGTCGCCAAATTTTGCGATTAAGAAACTTCAACGATTTATGCCGAAACTTGAAACCTGGTGTGCCAACTGGAAAATCGCAATTAATGCTGATAAATCCAAGCTTCTGATTTTTAAAAAGAATAAAATGAACCACCCCTTAACTGCACAACTGTTGCTATTTGATACTGTCGTACCAGTTGTAAAAACTGCTACATACTTAGGATTAAAATATAGTGCTAATTTCCTCTGGAAAGAGCATATAAAATGTGTCAGAGGTAAGACTATCGGGGTAGTTCAAAGTCTTAAGCCACTCCTGTCTGCGACCTCCAAATTAGATATCAAGAGGAAGAGACATATTTATAACTCCATTATACGTCCTATTTTTGCGTATGCTTCTCCAGCCTGGGCAACAGTTCAGAAAAAGGAGTTAAACACGCTGCAAATTATTCAAAATAAAGTACTTAGGATGATAACAAATGCTCACTATTATGTCTCGAATCACACCCTGCACCGTGACCTGAAAATGGAATCTGTAGAAACATATCTACACAAAGCAAATAACAAATTCTTCAACAAGGCACAAGAATGCAACCATATGACCGATCTCAATGTTTTAGATATGTAATTCTTGAAGAAGATGCTTCGCTAAGACCACTCGCGGCCCACCTCGCCAGGGACTTAAATTTTCCCACGTAAAAATAATCATGAAGGGGATGCATAGTGCTTATATATATTGTATATAGTGTATATAATTTTATTTCTCATTTGTAATTTGTATGTTTAATTTGTATGTTCTTTCACTTTGTATTTATGTAATAATGTATGAGTATGTTTAATTTATTATGAAGTGTTTTAATTCAGATGTCATGATTGAAACTATTGGATTCTGTCTGTGTCTTCTTTGATGATACAACACAAACATATCATACAGATCCTCACGGCTCCTGCTTTACGAATTTCTTGATGCGCGCGCCACTCTTTGGCCTTGCGACTCATGGTCGCCCCCTGTAACCACCTTTGACCTCCTAAAAAACTTGTCATGAAAAATTCAAAGTCATGCGCCCTTTGGGCTTAATTTTCAAGAGCCAGATAAGTTGCGCAGCTGCGCGACACTTCGGCAATAGCCGTGCAGACTAGACTAGACTACATTATTTGCCGCTAATGTGGCAACTAAATAAACTGTTCAGCTTGCGTCCTGGAAAGACAGCTCAGCTTTACGTCTTTGAAAAATTGCCGTTGTACACGGCTGCCAGTGTCGCCTGTGCTTGGAGCCGACTTTTTTTCAATATTTTATTATCCTGTAAAATAACAGAGCTATAGTTTATCTGGTTAGTTCAGAAACCTTTGAAAGATTATTGATTAGCTGAGATAAAACAACACACTAAATAACGATTTTATAAAGGTGCTAAGAGAACAAGAATCAGCATAATTTTCACTTATTTGCTCATAAACGCGTAAAAAAGCTGACGGCGTTTCTAAATTTAAACCTACGAAACTAGTCCTGCAAATTTATAAACATTGCTCTGATTTTTGTTACCTTAGTATTTCCCATGAACGATTATTGATTAGTTAAATTATTAGGATTACGGTTCTTATGTTAAAGAAATCTTATATGGCCTATTTAATTACAAAAATTTTTTGCTGCAATTCATTGAAACTCGTTTCCTCGAATTATTTTAACTTGAATACCTGATCCCTCAAGGCAAGTTCAGTACGGCATCGACTATCGGAAAACAGAAATTAAATACCCTGTCCGATTTTTATTGTACGAGAGTCAAACATTTTATAATGAGTAATTTTCCCAAATACATGGTTGGGCAAATGCAAATGATGGACAACATTATCCCCCATAGCAGCCCCAAAATGAAATGAAGCAAAATGTGAAAAATTACAATAAGTGCCGGGTACAGAGACTGGAGCAGGGAAAAGTGGACGGAGCACCAGTACTTCGTCAGTGACTTTTACAGGTAATTGCTCCTCCACACTACTGTACCCGTTGGATGTTCGTTTGGCCCGCATCAGAAGCCAGCCATATTTAGCCTGTTCCAGGCGTTTGTAAAATTTCTGAACTTTCATTATTTTTTGTAAATTGTGGGATACAGTACAAAGTCCGTAATCGGGACTCGTCGGGACTTCTGCGATTCCGGATTAGGGGTTTTTCCGGATTATAGATCATCAATATAAATCTGGTAAGATGGTATGCAGAAATTATACAATTAAAAATATGAAACCGTAATTTATGAAATAAAGAGCAATTATGATATAAAGGATATCAAATTTTACAAAAGAAAAGCTTAATATTTATTTGTTTACTTTATTAAATATTTCTTTCAACGCGCGCATGCGTAAAGCGGAATCTTTTTTATTATTGAGGGATCGTCAGTAAGCATTTAATGTACTGCGGCGTAGTTTGTGTCCTTTCTTTGCAGTGCAGCTTTTTTATACGCTGGCACTTGAAAATAAAGTGCTCTGGGTCTCTCTTTTCTCCACGTACGCACTTGTCTGAGTCGCTCAGATTTCCTGCAAAGTAGTGTGTGGGGAAAGATGTATGAGATTGAATCATATGCGGGCTTCTTTCTTCTACATTTCCCCATTCAGCTTGCCATTTCTTTAATTTAATTTTTCTAAGCATATGTTTCTCATACGACTTTGGGAATGCTATTCTTGCCATACTTTAAAAATGTAACTCTTTGCACTCCGAGACTCTTAAGATGTTCTGCTAGTATCAGATAATTTTATACCTTAATATTTAGTAATGTAATATCATTCATCATAGCGACTGTTTAGTGGCAATGACTTACTGGATATTAGAAATTTTTTTTCGGAACTCATTTCGACATTTTAAGGTTCTGGTTCCTAGTGTCAAATTTTGAAATCAGCGATCTGAGTTCCAGACTGATTAGTTTGTCGTTTTAGAATTACCAGTGAAATTGCGATACGTAATATTTGTGTTTCCATTGTATACTTGTGGAGCGTAAAGTGTAAAGATATTATGAATCAAAGTTTGTCGTCATAATCTCTCATTAAGAGATGTTGTCAATGATCTCTCATTAAGAGATGTTGTCAATTATCTTTCATTAAGAGATGTTGTCAATAACCTCTCTTTAAGAGATGTTGTCAATAATCTCTCATTAAGAGTTTCTCTGTTTTTAAAACGCTATGCCTGAACTGCATCATATCTACTACAGCTTGCATCTTTCCGAAGAGGGCAGTTCTCAACGGCAGCATCCGGTACCAGAAACGAAGAGCCTTGAAGTCCACACAGGATCAGGAAGCACACATTCTGAGCTTCAGATGCAACCGTGGATATACGAGAGTAGGACCAAAAGTAATATTCTGCAAAAATGACGAATGGACGGCGCAATTCCCAGAATGTGTTAGTAAGTAGTTTATTTGCGAATGAAAACTTTGTGATTTTGTGGTACATATATAAAGCGGCTGCGAAAACGACGAGTGAACTAAAGCAGACATAATTTCTGACTTTAGACCTGAAAGAACGTATTCATTCAATGACTTAGTTAATTAATACTTCTCGTGTACTCGTAAACTGGAAATTGTTTAAATTATTCAATTAATTATTTACTTTTAAACAATTTTATTCGATATGAAAGGAAGATGTAGCAATGTTTGATTTATCATTACAGCAATAAAAAATCTGATGTGTACACCACATAAGTGTTAATATTCCGTACAAGGAAGTCTTCTACGGAATATTAACATTTATTAACGGAATCTTAAACACTTATTTCCTCGAAAAAATTCCAGAAACGATTAAGCATGATTTAATTCGCAATAAGAAATGAAGGCGTTATCTTTGTTGTTGCGAAGCTAAGTTTCTCTATATTGGCAAGGAATCCACTATTCTGCTGTTTCAACTGTAAACAAGCAATGGCCGCCATCAAAAACATTATTAGGCTTAGCGTCGCTTAAACAACTTTAAAATTGTTGATAATTCTAAAAATATTGCATACAGATTTACTAAAGGCATAAAAACCTTAACCGGAAGATAAGAACAACATAATTCAATCATATTTAAAAAGCAAAAAAATGTACAAGTTTACAAACATATATAAGAGTAAAGACACTGAGATTACTGAGCCGGGTAAGCAGAGTGATATATTTATATAATATATATACAAATATATTTATATACGTTTGATGCGGCCGATTGCAACCAAAATACGAGGTGCACATCTACATGTTATAGCAGTCCTATATACAAAATTTCAACGTTCTGAGGCTACTCGTTTTTGAGTTATGCGAGATACGTACGTACATACGTTCGTACAGACGCCCCCAAAAATTCTCTTCAGAATTCATTTTAAAGCAGTTTTATAATTTTTTTGCGGGAAAAGAGTCTTTTATTCTGCTCTTACGTACAGATATCACGCAAAAACATCGTTAAATTGCATTCGATAGCGGTCAAAATGGATATTTTCGTTGAAATATACTGCCTGAAACTTTTCGCGATTACAATACTTCCTTTCTACTTCGTGCAAGGAAGTAAAACCGCTGCTTGATAAAGACTAAATTGTTTTCATCTCCTCAAGATTATAGTTGGTTAGAGGCAGTTCCATTGCACCCACCAGGATACGATTCGATTGGAAGCAATTTCATTTGATTAATAAACATTACACTATGAATCTACTCAAGTCCTGGAATAAAGCTTTATTCCATCCACTTCCAATTCAGCTGTGAGGTATAAAGATTGATTTCATGAACTGGAACTCGAATACCTCTTCTTAAATTCTATACTAAGTTATATATTGTAAACATGATCATATTTCGAAACTTAATGTATTTAGAATAGCTTTGCTGTACTTTGACAATGTGAACAGCTTTTAGTCAACTAAATTAGCTTTTAGTTAACTAAAATAGCTTTTAGTTAACTAAATGGATTTCAGCTGTACTTTTCGAGTTGGCAAATTTCTTCAAATTAAAAAAGAAGACTGTAACTCGAATTAGAATAACATCAACTTTCTGTATGCTAAATTATAATGAGAAAATATTTTCATTTTCGGAATCAAGCTCTTTGTAAGTTCTTAGTATTAGTTCCACGAAATATTTTCTTCATATGGCCATTTCTTTGTTAATGGATCCTGTTTTATTTTTGACGGTAATATTTCCTTTAGATCTATAGCCTTATTCAAGATTTTTAGTATCACAGTTCAATACAGAAGGAATGCAAATAGATACTGCCACGATTTTGTAAGTTATTGCTCTGAAAATGTTTCACAAACTATTTTTTAATAGGAAGTGACAGATAATTAACAATATAATTTAAACAATGAGTAGTATTTTATTTCAATATTATTTATTTTTTGCCATTATAAAATTAAATGCAATGTATAGATATATGGTTACATTATGTTAAAAAAATAATGTATGGCAAAAGCGGGCATTATTAGCCTCGAACTGAGGTGTTCTGTCCAACACATTTTCCGTACTTTTCTCTGTTCTAATTCGTGAATTGCTGTCCGAGTACCAGTTTGAAGCTGTTGTATGGTTCGTGCATCCACATTCATTTTGAAAATCCGAAGAGGAGAAAAAATATGCCTTTTCCAAATATTTTCTTGAAGAGAGCCATTGTTTGTCACAATTCATTCACTTAAAAGAGCTATTGTTTGTCACGTTTAAATCACTTGAGCTATTTTTTGTTAAGATTCATCCACTCAAGATGTAGAGTGACTATTTTTTACTTCCTTGTACGAAGTAAAATGGAAGTATTGTAATCGCGAAATGTTTCAGGCAGCATATTTCAACGAAAATATCCATTTTGACCGCTATGGAATGCAATTTAACGATGTTTTTGCGTGACATCTGTACGTAAGGACAGAATAAAAGACTTTTTTCCTCCTAAAAAATTATAAAACTGCTTTAAAATGAGTTCTGAAGAGAATTTTTCGTGGCGTCTGTACGAACGTATGTATCTCGCATAACTCAAAAACGAGTAGCCTCAGAACGTTGGAATTTTGTATATAGGAATGCTATAACATGTAGATGTGCACCGCGTATTTTGATTGCAATCGGCCGCACCAAGCGTATATATATATATATATATATCTACTCTTTTACTCGGCTCAGTGATCTCAGTTTCTTTACTCTTATATGTTTGTAAATTGTACATTTTTTGCTTTAAAAATGATTTAATTATGTTGTTCTTATCTTCCGGTTAAGGGTTTTATGCCTTTCGTAAATCTGGAAGAATCAATTCTGTTATTTGTACAATTATCAGCAATTTAAAAGCTGTTTAAGTGCGGTTAAGTTTTAAATAACATGTCGGATATATTTATTTACATTTGAAATAGCGGAACAGTAGATTTGTTGCCAATCTAGAGAGACTAAGCATCGCAACAACAAAAATAACGCCTTGATTTATTATTGGGAATTAAATCATGCTTAATCCTTTATGAAATTTTTTCGAAGAAATAAGTGTTTAAGATTTACTTCGTAATTTTTAATGCAGATATTTTGAGTTTTTATGTATTTTTGCCATCTCGCGAAGTGAGAACTGAATTAATTGAATGAGAAATACTCAGTATCAGTATCAGTATCAATCTTGCCTTTTAGACAAGAAGAAAGATGATGAGGACTTTGGCGAACACCGTTTCCTCCAATTCGTGAGGGTTAATATTGAAATTAACAACAAACGTTTTTACAAATTTTTATTAAACATATACAAACATCCATGCCTTCTCCGGGATTCGAACCCGGACCCTTCGGCACGGCGGCATTGAGAAATACTCAATCGTCTGTGAAAACTGTGTCTTTCTTGTTTTGCTTGCTTAATTTCTTTTATACATCGTTCTAGCATTATTATAGTATTTGAATATAACATGTGGCAACGATAAGATAATTCTTCAAAAGATATAAATTTTGTGCATTCTGAGTTATAATATGAACGAAATATTAAGTGAATCGAGCGCCAGAGTGTCGCTATGGTAAGCAAATAGAGTGAATTTTAAAGAGTGCATTTTTTCTATTGTGGTTTATACGCTGTCGACGAAGTAGATTTAATTCAATCCAATAAGTTTAAATGAAATGCAAGAAAAAATGCGTATAATTTAATATTCCGTACAAGGAAGTCATGTGGTGTACACATCAGATTTTTTTTTTAAGCAGGAGACAGGAAAAATATGCAATGCCCTTTCCGGGTCTCGAACACTGAACACGTATTAAGTGTGCTTCCAGTTACACAATCCGATCCATGCATTTAAGAATCACTTGTTTGTCACTATTCATCTACTTGAGATAGCTATTATTTGTAGCTGAAAAGTTGAATTCAGTACTCCAACACATTAGTAGGAGCTCTAAGTTTAACAAATTAGTTGAAGAGCTAGGCTATTTCGGAACATTAAGCATGTTGCGGTATGCTCTTTGAGTCTAAGTAACCGAGTATTAATTTTCAAAGTAAAACTGAACAGTTCTAGTCTTTCATCTGCTAGTGTAACTTTCTATCATAATATCGTTCGTATTAACTATACTATCCTAAAAAGAAAAAAAAAATATTCACTATTTGAATAATAACTCTTAATTATGAGTCACTTGATATTTTTTCGGAGTTACAGAGATTTAGGTTTTTCAATGAAATATAAAGCTGAAGAAGTACATTTTTAACTGTATATTTAACATTTCTGGAATGTTTAAGGTAAGTAACAAAACTTTCAGTACTGGAAAAGACATAGTTTCTTATACTGCACATTTTTCTGTTTCTCGGGATTGACCAGAGATGGAATGTGAAGAGCCCCCGTCTATCTGTAATGGCAAATATACAGTGAAAACAGGCGAGGGTGGCAGGAAGGTAATCGGATCAACCGCTACATATACATGTGATGCAGGGTTCGAAATAGAAAACGATACTTCAGACGTTTTAGCATGTGAATTGGATATGAAGACGAATGACATTCAATGGAGCAATCCTAACTCCGAGTTGCAAAAGGTAAGATACAGTTTAAATTAATTTGATGTAAACAAAGTATTTATCATATTTAATATAGGAGTGTTTATCACACGCTTATCTTCCAGATTCTAACATATTCTATTACTGATAAGCGTATGATCATTATTTTTGGCTTTACTAAATTTTACTTTAAGCTAAACACTACTATCCTTCTTTCTCGGTTCATGTCCTACATATTCGTTCAGACTAGAAGGTTATGAAAATGAACAGTAGAGAAGATAACAAAGTATTTATCATATTTAATGCAGGAGTCTTTATCACATGCTTTTCTTCCATATTCTATAAATTAAATTGATATAACAAAGTATTTATCACATTTAATGCAGGAGTCTTTATCACACGCTTTTTTCCCATATTCTATAAATTAAATTGATGTAACAAAGTATTTATCACATTTAATGCAGGAGTCTTTATCACATCCTTTTTTTCCATATTCTATACTGATAAGCGTGTGCTAATTACTTTGGCTTTACTAAATTTTACTTTAAGCTAAACACTACTATATTCTCTCGGTTCATGTCCTACATATTCGCTCAGACTAGAAGGTTATGAAAATGAACACTACAGAAGATAACAAAGTATTTATCATATTTAATGCAGGAATCTTTACCACACGCTTTTCTTCCATATTCGATAAATTAAATTGATAGAACAAAGTATTTATCACATTTAATGCAGGAGTCTTTATCACACGCTTTTCTTCCATATTCTATACTGATAAGCGTGTGATAATTATTTTGGTTTTACTAAATTTTACTTTAAGCTAAACACTATTATCTTCTCTCTGTTCATGTCCTACAAATTCGTTCAGACTAGAAGGTTATGAAATTGAACAGTACAGAAGATAGTTTAAAAGATATATAGGTAACAGAAGAAAGGTAGAAGACAGTTAGGAGAGTTTAAAAGACAGACAGGGGGAGTAACTGTATACCGGAATGCAACGCCAGGTGTTGCCGTGAAGAGGCTTAACGGCAGTTTTACATATCTAAGGCTATATTGTTCCCGCTTGTTAAGCGAGTGTATAGGGTCTTTTTCTCTTGTTACACATAAACTAGAGTAGATCCTAAAATGATCTGGCGAATTCTCGCACAGGTGTAAAGAAAATTGCCGACTCAGAAAAAGGGTGAGCATTAACCCTTTATTAATCCAAAACAGTGAACAGAAAGACACGACCTTCGTGAGTTACAAAGACACCGTCCAATTTGGGATGAAAACTAAAACGGTGCTACTTTGGTAGACGGTTGCACGGATTTTTGGCGATTTACGTTGGCGCGGTTTTTATAATCGTCAGCCATCTTGAAAAACGCTGTTTTTACGCGTAGTAAAGTATTCGAAACTTTAAAAAAAAGTAAGTATCGTTAAAAGTAATGGATTAATTTTTTGTTGAAAATGTCGTTTTTTAAGATGGCAGCCAGGTGTAAATAAATACATTTACTATGAGTATAAAATACTAAAGTAAGGTTATTATTACTTTCATATAGCAAAGAAAGATAATAAAAACATTATGCCAACGTTTAATTAGATTAAAATATTACTTAAATTGAATATCGAATTAAAAACATTATACCAACATTTAAAAGATTTAAAATATTACTAACTTCAAATACTTTAAAATACGTTATATAGAATATAATTAACATTAAAACATATGTGACAATAATTATCTCAACAATTTTTGAAAATAGAGTATTAATTTTTTTAACGAAAATTGAAGTATGCAATTATAAAATAAAAAAAAAATATGTACTTACATTTTTTTTTAGTCATTCAACCTGTCGTTTACTGATAAGTACCACAAAATTGGAATTATAATTTAGATATCAATGAAAAAAATTTGAAAAATGTAATATCAAGGGCAGGAATAAAAAAATTAAATTATAAATAGATAAAGCAATTTAGAGCCAAATCAATAGATCATGAAGATTAAAAAAAAAAAAAAAACTCAAATAATATGTATTGTTTTTAAGATTTCGAAGATCCTTTAACCGCCCCTCCCTGAAGTACAAAGGACAATTTTTTTATTCCGATACCAATAATTCTTGGTACTTACCAATAACTGCATTCATCTTTGAAACAATTATCTTTGAAGGAATTCGAAGATAGGAATTAAATTTTAAAATGGCGCGGTAATGCACAAATTTTCAGTAACCAATCAGAGAGCTAATTACAGCTCGTTAATGCACAAATATTCTATAACCAATCAGAGAGCTGATTACATCACGCCTAGAATTAAAATTATTTAAATAATCATACATAATAAAATCATTTAAAAAATGCAAAATAAATTGTATTTTAATATTTAACAGCGTAAATAATGTTTAAAACATTAGATTAAATTTATAGATATTAAAACTAATTACTTTTGGTTGTGTTTTAAAGTAAGGTGACGTCATTGATTACATCATCCACAACATATAATTTCATAAAATATCATAAACAATAAAATTTTTATTTCAAATAAAAATGCAAAATTAAATTGATTTTTAATATTTAGAAGGCGTAAATAATATTTAAAACACGGAATTTACGCATAATAAAACGCATTATTTTTTAAATAAAATGACAACAAAGTATCGGTTACCATAAATAACTTATCCAGCAAGGGGTTTACTATAAGTCGCATTACTCGCCAAAAGAAAAATCACCAAAATCCGTGCGATCGTCTACCAAAGTAGCACCACTAAAACGTAGAATATAATTTAAATCAAACCTAAAATAAATAGTGCTAGATAGAACTTAAGTTACGCGTAACAGGTGGACTCAGAAAAACCTAACCGGAGTGAGGATTAATCCGATAGGGCGAGGAGGCTTACTAGCGTGACGGCGAAACAACAACGAAACGTACGATTGGCTAGCGAAACACGCTCTGAGTAGTCTCAGAGATTCACCAGTTTAAATAAGCACTTCACTTCACTTTAAATTTACATCCTGGAGAGAGAATGTGAGGGAAAGTTAAGAAGTTCAGAATAGGAATCAAACTTAAAATAAATTTATTTTTCCAAAATAAGGAAAACAACCCTTCTCGTAGCATTCGACTAAACCCTACTAGTGGAGTTACTATATGAGCATTCGAAACTGATTACTGGAATAAATATGCATTGGCCGCTTTACAGTTCTACAGTATGAGCTTTTATAGTAGTTCATAGGTGGCAAGAATTCACAAGAATTACACAGTGGCATGTATTAATTTTAAATCTGCGCACAGCTGTACTAGAGTTAAAGAGTTCAACAGTTCTACTTGATAAGAGTATGATACATTGTAATAATGGTAAATGATACTTTGCACTGAATTCATGACATTATTCATCGTGCACACTTCTGAACGGCTAGCACCTATTGTGTTAATCTTAATTTGTGGGGATTACCAGCATAGAAGAATGTCAGCAGATTCCAAGACAAAGATACTACTATTATTCTGGACGACGAAGGTCCTGCTTCAGCGTCTCAAGCTTCGTTATGATGCTATGCAGTTTTTGAAGCAATGAGGGCTGCTAAATCAGGAAGATTTTGAAAGCGGCTACCTCCATTGTAAGCAACTTAATGTGCCAGTCCTTAGTCAGGGGGTACTTGGGGAGATAGTGGTCTGGAAGTCCTGAATTGTCACATATGCAGATGTATGTCTGTTGTGCTTATGCTTCTTTCCGCAAAGTAGGATGGGAAAGGCCCGTGTCCCGTTATGAATCTCGTAAGAAAAGTTGCTGAAATAAACCAATCCGTGCTAACTTTATGAAGAAATTCGTAGGTCCTTCGGCTTTTCTGTGTCATTGCCCAGTCCTCTTGCCACACCTTTAGGACTGCAGCTGTCGTTATTGTTTTATTTCAGATAGGATTTAGGAAGCGGAATTGCACGCACTATGGGTTGTGTTGATACTTTGTGCCGTCTCTTTAGCCAAGACATTTGCTCGCTCATTGCCCTGAGTACCAGCATGAGCTTTTACTCAATAGCATGAGCCTTTTTCTAGAAAACCTACAACATTCCGGCAACATCCTAGAGTCGGGATGAATTGTGACTCCAACCAATCTTCAGGACATTATACATTGCAGTGGATACAGGCGTTATGTTTCCACGTTACAGATAATTTTTGCAAACATTATCTGTTTGCACCAGTGTTTACTATCAGAATTAAGTTAGAAATTGTTCACAAAGCTTCAAATTTAAGTATTATTGTATAGTTGTATTGATACTTTAGCAACTCAATTTTGACGATAATATAGGGTAAACGTAGGGCAAAATTAGTTTTTAGTTAATTTCTTGGCTAAATAAAATCCCACGAAAACGCTAATGGTCAAAATGACTTGCCTCGGACCTGCGAAATCCAACGGTCTGCTTCGCTAAGCCCGGAAGCCAGCCGTTTCGGAGGAGATGATGTTATTTCACCCCATTATATATATATATATATATATGCGGCTTAAGTGTCTATTTGTCGCCGATCGTTTATTGCTTGCTTGCGTAACTGTATTAGCCAATGGGGTGAAGTTGCCACGGCACAGGGTTGCCGTTTCAATTGAGACGTAGATAATTTCCTGTAAAACCTGCCTTTGCTATGACCATCCATATATCTCAGGGTCAAACGCTTAAGCGCGTTGGCATTTTTTTACCTGAGCCTGCGTTTGAAGACGCTCAACTTACAAGAAATGTTGTGTACAAAGAGATCTTTGACATGTGAATTAACATTTCATTATTTAAATTACCTTTACTGATTGAGCTAGCGGTGAGCTATTATTGTATAGTTGTATTGATACTTTAGCAACTCAATTTTGACGATTTATGATGTGCTGTTACGTATGTTTTTGCTGTTACTGATTTGCAGAATTACATTATATTTAGCAGTACATCCGAATATGTTTCTCCGGATGTCTTGGGTGCCTATCTCATTCTCTTTACAAATGGAACTATTTTATCGGTGTACAGGAATATGCTGCCAGCGCCTGCGCAGGGAAGAGTGACCATCAGCACGCCGAAAAACAAAATAGCTGTC